TTGTGTGTGTGTGTCATGTATCAGATGTGGTGTCAGGCTCCGCCTCCCAGTCCTCCTCAGCCAACGACATCTCGTCCATGTCCACGGAGCACACCTTGGCCTCGGACACAGACAGCAGCAGCATCGACACACTGACGGGACCGCTGGACGAGAGTCAGTGATCACAGTCCATTGGCAACATCTGTCTGCCTGTCTGCCTGCCTCAGTCCCCCACCTCCCATATACGATATCTAAATATCAATCAGTCATCACCTTCCTTTCCTCTGTTTTCTTTTCCCCTTCAACCTCAATGAAAAGGTCTATTTTTCTATTAGTTTTTCTGTACTATCTGATGGAACTTGATCATCCTTTTTATTTTGGACTGCTAGCTGGAGGTCAAAGCTATCTATGCTGATTTTGGGGTAAAAATGTTGCTCTTTCTCTTCTTCGTGGATATTGTTTAACACGATCAAGTATATTGATGTATGCACCTGTAATGGTTTTCAGGTTACCAGGAGGAGGCGGTGGATTTGTTTTGTATGCCTGTATTTTATTGGTTTAGTTTTTTTTAGCAAATATTAAGTTGAGACCAGAGGTTATTGTCATCAAATCAATGCAGACACGCGCTGACCCCAGCTGCCAGCTGCTCTCATGCATGTTACGCCAATAACAACAAACGCTTGCCATAAGTCGATCACACTCACCGTCCAATGTCCATCAGATGATCAAACACTAATCCAAACTTTGATCGACCCTTTCGCTAGCTCGCAGTATTGCATATCTCCACAGTGGTGTGTTCTTTCTTTTATCAATTGGCTTAAGTGATGTGGATTTTGAGCTTTTACTCCTGTCAGCTAGGGGAAGTTGTGGTTGCAGTGTTACTGTTTTATTTCCTGATATAATGTACTGTATGTAAAGATGTCAAGATCTGACACGCATAGTGACTGTAGACCCCTTCGTTACCAGTACAGTAGATACGGCGTGCTTGTTTTGTTAAGAAATTTAACATATCTGTAGAACTATATATTGCAATCATCCCCATTTGAACATAAGGTACAAACCGTCAATGTGTATTTTAAAAGACTGTCGTAGTCCTATTCATATTTGGGGGAGGCTAAAAGCTACACGTAGTATTTATTTTTGTGTTCTAGCAAAATGTTGCACATGATCACATCGAGGCCAATGGAAATCAAGCCTCTTGTCAAAACTTTTCATTGACAGATTAATGCATGGGCTGCACCTTTTTCTACTCCATTCCATTAGTGCTGAGACAATAACAGAATGAATCATGAGTCAGACGTCATGTAGAACACACGCAACGGCAGTAAAACACAAGTAATAATAGTGTTGAACTTGCATGAAGGCAGTCGCGATGCCTGTAAGTTACTGTAGTTCTTGTTTGATAAACAAATCCGTTCAAATCAGTTTTACTTTTACTCACAGAACCTTGATGTTCTTGGTTCTGAAATACTATTCGAGATTTATTGTTTGCCTTGTAAGCCTATATGTGTGCGTGTGTGTGCATTATCAAATGTACAGTGCAACACTCTCCCTCTTTATCTCCCTGGAATCGTCCTGAAAGGCGGCAGCCGCCCCGTCTGTGAGGGCAGTGTCTGGAGGAAGTTGGCCCAGCAACAGAGAAGCAGACGCATTGTGGTTTAAAATGAGGATGTGAGTCCTGAATCCAAATCTGGAACTCGCAACTCGAAATTGAGACTTTTAAGATGATTGTTAGAAATGGACTGCAGAGCTGCTTTTTTTTTTTCTTTTTTTTTTTTACTGATTGCACAATGTGATGGACATGCAGAAATACAACACTACGGGATCAGTGAGGACTTGCGCACCATGTTTTCCTTTCAAAGACCATGACCTTATTCTTCAGTCATGCCTTAAACAACCTGAGGAGTGGCCAACTCACTCACGACATCGTATTCAATATGGACTGAGCTTCACAGCGATCAGAGAGTCTCGTGTGTTTACCATGATTTAAAAAAGCGCCATTGAACAATGTACATTTCACATTTTCGTTCCGTTTGTTTCTCCTTTTATTTTCAGAGATGTCCTGTGTGATTGCATTGACCACAACGTTATTATCACTCGGCCCTTACGCAACTAATAAAGTGGACATCAGTGATTCATTTTCTTTCAGTAAAGAAAAAGCTGTACATCACTTAAATCCCTCCCAAAGAGAGACCAAAATGTTCTGCCTATAGACAAACCTCAGCACAAGGTCTTTCTTGCCTTTTCCCTGCACGTCACACACACCATTCACGTCGTCACACCACACGCATTCCTCTTCAAAAGCTCTTGACAATATACTCTGTCTTCTTGGCCTCGTTGTTGAGTTCCCCAAAGGTGTCGAAGAACTGCTCCATCTCTCTCTGCAGTGTTGCGTTGCGTATTTCTGCAGCGGCACGGGCTCTCTCCGACTCCACAATCTTAGTCTGGATAACCTGGTACCAGTGGCGCTGCTGCGCCAGGTTGGTTTTCAGCCGCACAACCTCGACCTGCAGTTCCTCATTTCTCTGCTCGAGGCTGATTTAGAGAGACAAGACAGGAAAGGTTACTGGTTCATATGTCGGTGGGTTTCTTGACATTTAAGTTGGTTGATATTTTTCTTTTTTTGATGCCTGAAATGGTTTGAGAAGGCAAAACGGGTGACCCTTAAAGTTTGGGTTAAAATGTACAATTACATTTATTTTACTGGAGTGATTCAGATGAGTGCATAATCCACCGTCAAGCTGCACCAGATACATAAACAAATCCACAAATCAAGTGTGGAAAAACTCCCAGCTCACAATTTTAAAGAAAGCGATAATTCCCCGGATTCAACCCCTGATCTGGATCCATACAAAAATATAATGGATTCTTCCCTGGCCCATACAACATCTTTAGACCCGGTTTCATGTTGATCCAAACAAATTTAACCTCCTTGATTGAGGTTGCTATAAGGTAAAAAGACCACATACATAAATATCCTGATGCCCCTTAAATTAACTCTCTTTCCAACACCTCCAGCTGTTTCCATTTGTTCGGTTAGATTTTTCTCGATCTTCTCCAGCTGTTTACCAACGCAATTCGTTTATCTTGAAAAATACACAAAAAAACATGCATACATACAGACTAGCAGCAAATATAATCCGTCTGAGAAAAATGTTAGGTAAAAATATGGGGGAGATTTTGGGAGACGTAACGAAAGCAGCTGTTGGCGCCGTGTGAACCAAACAGGATACAGGGTGAAGCTCGGGGTCAACTCAGTTGAGCACAGCTGAGTGGACACACGCTCTCTGGGAACGTTGTGTAACCCTTCACTGGAAATACACCACAAGCAAGACTCTCACAGTCAAATCAGTGAACTGAAAGTATAATTCTGAAGCCAGCAGCAGTTAAATTCAGTCTTGATGATGTGATTTAAATAAACTGTGGTTGTCAAATGGAGAATGTCGAACCAACAGAAATTAACATTACCTGATTATTCTTTCCTCATACTCCCCCCTCTGTCGGACGATCTGCTGTTGGAGGCTGGTGAGGAGGCTGCGGAGGGCGCTGGCAGACGGGTCAGCCTGGGGTATAGGAGGGGGCACCCTGGGAGACCAGGCCGGCTGCTCTGGGGGCCACAGGGCCTGGCACTCAGTGGGACACAGCTGAGGGGAGCTTTCTGTCAGGACGTGAGGTGACGATGGGAGCTGGAGGTCAGCCTGCTTAAATTCACAGGATCCTGAGTCCAGCTCTGGCTCCTGCTCACGCTTTCTGACTTGGTCTGGATTCTGGTCCTGGTTGATGGAACTGCTCTCTGGGAGGATGATCTCACAGGAGGACCAGGGGCTCTTCTCTTCACTCACTCCCTCGGCCTCCATCAGTTCCTGCATGTACTCAGGGGACCATGCCTGATACATCTGCTCCTGGAAACTTGTCTCTGTCTCACAGACCTCCTGGAGGCTTTCAGGGGTGACCGCTTCAGGGAGGTTATCATACAGAGACAGAGCACTCCTGTGCTCCTCACTCTGTGATGGATTGGGGCTCTGGTGGAGATGGACTCTGTCCTCCCCGCTGCCTCCCTGCTCGCCCCCTCTCTCTCCTCCTCCTCTTCCTCTGTTTATGCCCTGATCCAGCTCTGTTTCCCAGCCCTGTCTCCCCTGGCCCCCTACCCAGCTGCAGTAGCTGTGATCTGGCCAGGCGCCAGGCGCTCTTCCCCCACCGACCAGTGTGGGAACCACAGCCACAGCTGGGGACACTCCGGCCAGAGGGCTGCAAGGGCCTGGGAGTCTGGTTACAGCCGGGCACACAACCCTACTCTCCATTTCCTTTTCCCTGGCCCTCCCTCGCTGGGCGAAAGGTGGGCAGTTGTCGTACAGGGGGTCCGTGGAGCAGGAGCTGACTGTGGTGGGGGTCTCAGTAGGAAGACAGTGCAGCTCCATGATTCAGCCAAGCACATGGGTGTGCTGAGTGCCCCAGATACTGCCCTCCCCTCCTCGGGCTGCTGTAACTGGGACTGGAGCCTCCTTGTGTCAAGTGCTGATGTGTCGTGGTGAGAGGAAGGTGTAGGAGCCACCCTCCTCCCCCTTTGGCTGGTTTGTGTGTGTGTGTGTGTGTGTGTGTGTGTGTGTGTGTGTGTGTGTGTGTGTCTTTAAGCAGGGCTGACATCAGCTGTTACTTTAGCACAGCGTCTGAGGGAGGGACCAGGGTGTAATATGGTCTGGCACATTCCTAAAGTCAGTCACACATAACTGCAACCACAGAAATAGACAGCGGCCATAACCACAAAGTGTGAGACCCTCACAAAAAACAATTGTGCAGTGAATCACATAGAGCCACACACCTGCAAATCTTCAAACACTTGAAGTAGCATGCACCTCATTATGGTCACTCTGCCCTGTTTGAACCAAGGTGAACTGGTGCTAGAATTGGTTCTGAGTTGGTTCAACTTGCAAACCTTTTAAGAACCAGTTTGCTTTTCCATGTGGTCGAGTCACCTCCAAACCACATCATTACGTCACTGTACACGTCTACACCTTCACCTCCCATTAGTTCGAACACAGGGTTTGTTTGTTAGCCTCCCTCTAATGTGTTCTGCAGTACAGCTGGTGACCACAGAACAAGGAGGTAGTTTGTCTCCTCCATGGACCTCTGCTGCTTCACTTTGCATCCATAGTTAAAAATATACTTTGTGGACCTCTCACAACACAAACATTGTTTTTTAAACGGTGGTCACAATGTTTTGATTGGTCTTATTGGTCTCGGTGAATCAGGTCTTTGGCCGTTGAAACACAAAGACGTGTTGAGAGATCACACACTGGTCCTTTAACAGCCGTGGTGGAAAAGGGGTATCTGACTCGTTCTCTATTCGTCTTTTACTTGAGACAGTGATTTCCCTTCTCTGTTTTAATGCACTGTATTTGCATCAACATTGTAGGATGTGTTAATATCAAATGGCCAATGAAGGAACATTTTTTGAATAGACCATAGTCATTAATCACATTTTATCTCATTGGGCCAAGCAAGGTGTGACATCCACTTCTCCTAACCCTCAACAAGAGCGATGAAAAATATCCCCCCAAAAGATTTAGAAACGTTAGAGAGAGCCACATGTTGGGCAACACCCTCCCAGGACAGACAGAACAAAATAATATTTACAACAATCATGAGAATATATGTATCAAAGTTTACAGGTTTTATACAGAAGAAAACTGTCTCGTCTGTAGGTTATGTGAGTAAGAATGTTGTATATCAATCTAATTAGAATATTAATCCATGATCAGATACCACCATAATCACAATCTACAGCAGAGCACTTTACAGAGGGGAAGGTACAGCAGAGCATTTATCTGATCGTCCTGAGCTGCACAAAAACAGAGAAAAAGAGCCGGGTGACCAATCCCAGATTTAACTTTGTCTCAGTGCTTAACAGAGAAGAGAGTCTTGGCAGCAGCTGTGCAGGTGAAGACACCAGCAGGTGATGATGGAGAGAAATAAGTGGCCAAAAGGCTCCAGACTCTCACTTTCATGTTCAGTTAGTGTTTATACCACAAGGTGGCGCTGCAGACAACATTATGAAAAGCCTCCTGCTTGAAGCGGGCGGTGTAGCCACTTGAAATGAAGGCAAATTGTAGACAAGCATGATGCTTCACTTTAGTGCTCAGATGAACATAAATGTAATTGGTACTTAACTTAATTCAGTAAAGATAAGTAACTGAGATATTTTCCTCACATGCTTTATTTTTCTAACTGGATGTTTCTTCAAAGGTTGAGTTTTACATCCATGCAGGTTTGAGGCCTGTTGATCCGCTAATGATCTAACCGCTCAGTGAGGAGCTCCTTCAATACATATATCTCCATCCATCTTGTCTGTGACAGGAAGTGACGTCTCTTGAACCGTCTTTTTTAACCACATGTCACCTTTTGGTTTGAGAACAATGTTTCCCAGGAGTATCACTGTAACACCTGACGTTTCAAGCACTGCGAACTTCATCTCTGCACGGACACGTTAAATAGTCAACACTGATAAAACTCCTCTCTTATCTACCTCATGTGAATCACAGTTTCCTTTCACTGAAAGAGAAGATGCACAATGCAGGATTTAAATGTAGTTTTCCTAAAGCACTTCTCTGCATTTGAACCTTGGTTATTGTCCTGATGGTTTCCTGAAGTGGACGATGCTTGTTGGATATAGGAAATGTGTTGCAGCTCTCGAGGTGAGACCATAAAATGCTTTGAAATCTGCAACAACTGAGGCACCAGAGAGAAACGGACCATCTGGAATGCCACACATTCGCAGTAATCTCTCTCATATCCCTCTGAGGGTTTTGCCCCTGACCTTCATCTGCCTTTTCTAATGAATGATGAACAACCTCGCCATCTACAAGTCTTAACACCCCCCACCCCCCCACCCTGAGCCCTATCACAGCTGGACCTCCACTAGAGGTCAAGCCCTTCCCTCTGAGACCCCTTATCACCACCGCCCTCCCTTCTCCTCCGTGCGTCTACATGTACTTCCTGCACATTTGCGTAGTTGTTTGTAGCCATAACGACAGAATCCATGGTAACGCAGATCCCAGCGGTTCTAAATAATAAAGGTGGATGGATAAAGAGGAGGAAGATAAGGGGGGGTGTCTGTAGCTATTTTAGCAAGTGTCTTGATGGCGAGTAATTGATGAGGGCCCTTATTAACAAGAGATGGGGTCTGCTGCAAGCAGTGAATCTACCAAGTGCAACGCTGAGCCAGCCTCTCTCTGAAATACTGTGCAGCTACAGAGAGGCATCACATATATAGAAAATAACATATATATATATATATAGTCCATGATACAAACTGACATTTCTCACTGGCTATGAAACTAAAGAAATCAGAGAAAGCGTAGCTGTGGATGTTGTGTGTAGGAGTCGAGCAGCAGTTTGGACTGTGAAAGAGCGAGAGGAGAGATAAAGAAAATAAAGCAGCTAACGTTTGTCGTTCCTGTGAAGGTGTTTTCCAGCTTGTAGGTGTGTTTCTGAGAGATTAACATCCCTGCCTCTGTTCTCTCTGATCCCCAACCTCTCCCTGTGTGTGTGTGTGCGTGCTTCAAAGCTACAGATTATATACCATCCCTTTGCTGTTAATTCGTGTTTTATTACGACTCTGCTTCCACTTTCAGCCGTCACCTCAGCGGAGGAACAGCTGCTGCTTGCAGACCTGTTCCTGGTTCTATTGTGAGTTACTGAGATTTTGCATCAACCATTTTTAGGCTAATTTGTTTTTTTACATCAGAGCTCATGCACATCCGTGATATAATAGTAAAGAAAATATTTAGTTTTTTTACTTCTGCACTCGTTTATTTTGGTGAGAATGTGTTTCGGTATTTTTGTCTTTTTATTTTCATACAATACAGTAAGAGGGCTTTGAGACTGAAATTCACACCATCCGTCTTTCAGCATGTCTATAATGTTTGAACCAAATTGTAGGTGAATGCACTGAAATGAGGGAGTTATGGCGTCAGAGCACAGAGCCAAAGTGTAGCTGATGTCTGAAGCACATCACAAAGCCTGTTAAAAGAAAAACTGACCCAAAATGTCTTTACCGCACTTTGTAAAATCACTTCAATGTTGTGAGGAACATGAAAACTATAATAAGTGATATTATTTTGCATGTTAGCGTCATCATCATATTATCATTCAATCATGGCTCTATTATCAGCCAGCATGCCTTTTGTTATGTAGTTGATTACCTCATCACTACACAAGCTTTTCATGCTGCAGAAACACCACAGACAGGAATCCAGCTGTCAATGAATCCAACACAGACCATGTGTATTGGTGCATTTGTGCACTTAATCATGGATGAAATGAAGATGCCGTTTGGTTGACGTGTGTCCTCTTCCTGCCAATTTCCACGAATGAAGCCAAAAATATCCCAGATGCAAACACTGCCACGTTGAGCTGATCATGTCGTTCTGAAACAGAGTCTGAGCACAAGTGGTCACAGGAGAAACCCTCTTTAGGAAGCACTTATTTTAATGTGTATTTTGGCTTTTTAGTTTGGGTTTTTCCTCCACTAACATGGAGGAGGCACTGTTCATGACCTACACTGCAGCCGGCCACCAGGGGGGGGGTGATCTGGATTACTGTACAAAACATGGCGGCCTCCGTAGACAGGACCCCCCTCGATGTAAATATAAAGTATTTAAATATAAAGGGCCTTTTCTGGGGTAGGGAAAATTACAATTCATACAATTTAGATGAAACAAACTAGTGAAAACCTCATGAGGATTATTCTCCATTAAATTTCTGCCAAAAGTTCCCTCTCACCTGAATCTTACACACTGGACCTTTAAATTGAACTGAAACTCTGGATCAGCCTCAGCTGTGATAGATTCTCCACACGTCTGGAGGACAATGGGAGGGATCAGCACTGATGATATAAAATGATATTTCCTCATTTGTTGTTTGATGGCCGTCGAGGAGAGCAACACGTCGCTGCAAAATCTCACACAGGTGCTCAACTGGTTTGTGATTCACCTCATCGTCATTCTCATCCTTCACTGACTCTGTTTCCCTGATGAATGACGCTGTCGCTCTGTTGGATCAGGATTTCTTAACCTTGTCATTGTTCAGGGTTCAACTTTTTATCTCTCAAATTCTGAATTTAATCCACATCTCGTTGAACCGAGGCATTCGTCTTCATGTTGTTAAGCATCTTTCTCTCATCCATTTCAAACATGTGCCTGTCTATAGCAAGTCTTCATTCAACACAGCAGATTATTTGAGAGGCGTGAACAAGGTGTCCTCAAGCAACACGTGCATGCGCGCTGCTTCCCACTCACACACTGCACTGGAGATGTGCGTCACTGGTATCCATGTGTGGGTAGTGATGTTGCTGCCATGATGAATTGGATTATATTGCTTTTTTAACACCATCTCTCCTCTGTGTGCATTCTCAATTAAAAACCCTTGACACGTTTCAACTTCCGACGCCTGTGTGTGCGTCAACAGGCTCTATAGTTTGATTACAGCTCACTTATTAACATTTTGATAAGATACTTCTTCTTATACATCCTAGAGGCAGCACTGCAATGTGAT